TCATCCAATAGCCAAATGAGTGGAGGCTTTCAAACGTTTATGAGACCTCACATAATTAAAGGCGTGTCCCCTGTGCTAGCCAATTATCCAAGAAATTGAATGAGGATGTTTCATAATGGCGCTCTTAGTAAATACACAAATGCTATTTCGCAGATAGCTGATAATGTACGTTTGAATCGCAGTTGCAGCATAAATAATGAATAAAAATTTGAAAAATTCTCGTCATAATACGTCTCTTTTCCCAAAAATTATAAGACGATTTAAAAGCACCTTAAATGAGGCACATTTAGGAAGTAACCCTGGTGTCAAATAAGCTTCCATTAGTTGGGTTTCATCCGAAGGAAAAAAGCTGAACTAGTTTTAACGATGGCATATTTAGTACACGCAAATGGAGGACAATTATAAGGTAGTTTTATTCCAGACACAACTCGATAGAATAGCTGATTCAAATAATTCATCAAAAAAGCATAATCAGACTAAGCCTAGAGCGACAGTTAATGAGACGAAATCGTGTGATGGAGCTAATAGAATAATCAGAGTCATCCTCGCACCCACCCGACGAGACTGACTAAGCTCTTAAAAGCACCCCGTTACCAAAAATGGAGAAAATGTACTCGTAATAAAAAGCATTACTAGAATAGAGAAGCATGTGACCCGACGTTTGTGAACTTGATAAATCTCAAATTAATCGAAACCAGCCTTCAACAGGAAACTGCATTCTGAAACGTAAATGAGCTCAGACACATTTTTCTTCTTCCCTCAGTAGAAACGCTTGGGCTTAGAAAAAGGAAATCAAGTCTTTATGAACAAAGCCAAAAAATTCGATTTATCTGCTCGAAGAAAGAAGTACAACTTTGGAGGCCTGACGGTCACGGAACTAGGGAGACGAATAAACACAACCGTCACATAAATTCGGCATTATGGCCAAAATGTACAAGAAATCTACTCGAGATGCAACAGGCAACAAGGGATAGGCGGCTACAGTTTGCTCAGGTTACACGGGTTCAAGCAAGGAGACTACTCGTGAAAGAAATCCGTAATAATTGCAAACATGGGAATCAGAGCCCAAGTGCTCTGCGCGATGAGGTACGTTATTTTAAGGGCATGAGAAATAGCAACTGGAGTGAAACATACACTGGGACTGGAACTGAGTGAAATCAGTCAACCAGAAGGATAAGAAACAGAGCTACGACACAATGATAGGCCAGTCGGATTAGCCCATTGAAAGAGAGGGAGGGAAGGTAAACAGGTGTGATGAGGCCATACTACAATGACTAAGAATGATATCTTTCAACGATTGGAATGTAAACAAGTCAGGAGTTGTGATAGGGCGGGAATGGGATAAGAGGATAAGGAGTATATATATGGACCAGGACAGAAACAAGAGTGATAGCACAACCGTCTCAGCAGAAAGTTTGCCAAGGGGTTTGACTTCACTTGCCTCTTTTATAAATTATAGCTTAGTGCTGAGAATGACAAAACTCACTGATGTTGGTGAAACGTCTGAGAACGTACCAAGGTCATGGTCTGACACGCTGGGAGTTATGACAACTACAATGGCAGAGGACTTCAGACAAAGTGCCTTTAGCTAAGTCGCACTGACAACAAGTGTCGTTATCAGGATATAAGCAAATCTTGATAAACATTCAATAGATTAATTTCAATTTAAAAACTCCCTAGATCGTTAAGGGATAATTAAGACTACAAAAGCAGAGGTCCAAATGTGAGTCCGACAACCATATTAAAATCTGGCTTTGACCAACTTCCGAATCGTGCTTCGGTTTTCTATATCGATAATTGCGAAGGGCTAATTCCAGCCTTTGACATAAGACAATGCTATCAAATTGCCTAATTTAAGTTGGGGCATATGTGTTGATTTCTAACTAAAAAAATATGATAGTTTCTGATCCGTTTGGATCAATCTAAGATAACTGTCGACTGGTGACTATTAAGTGTCCCTAAAGTATGACGACTCTCACAATTATGGAATGGTAAAGTCTCTTAGGAATATACTCACTAATGGAGAGGCCTGATGAGATATAGTTTACCACATTTATAATGATCATGCCCTAGTCTCAATCACGTAGTCAAGATTTAGATATTAAATAGACAAGTCCATTTAAAAGGAAAGTTTAGGTTATTATGAGAAGATGCATGCTTATGAAATGAAAAAAAGACCGCCTAAATAGTCGAAAGGCCTCATGAGCGACTTGACATTGTTAGATGCTTCGATGTTCCAAGATAGCTTGTCGATAATAGAATAAAGAATTTGGAATTTACTATCATACCTATCCTAGTGGGTGTTCTTATCCAGAATAGGATATTTCCAACCTTTTTAGTTATCTTAGATCGTATTAAGAAGCAGGCTGTACGCACTAAAGACAAAATATTTTCACACAATAGTGATTCAGCTAAAAATGGTACTTTTGAAGCAAATTAAAATCATATGCATGTGCTTGGCCTCATGCAAAAATCTGGTAAGTAATATGCAAGGGTTAACGACATAAAAATAAACCAAGGGACAACAAGCTGACATTCCATGCTCATATTATAAGGCTTTCAACAAATCATGTTTAACATAAATAATTCAACAAATTTTATTTATTTTAATATTTTAAAAGTTAATAAAGACAGATATTCGCTAATTATATAGAACGTAATTTAAATGCAATAAATAAGTTCATTGGACGATCAAAAGATGACGCTATCAATTTTAATTTGTTGAAACTAAATATACATATTTTGAGCATGAAGGTGCCTGCTAGTACATACGAAAAGGGAATGTTTTTGATAAAATTAAATAGAAAATAATAATCCCGGAAGTAAAAGATAAATTGGAATGAAAAGTCCCCTGAAGTATAGAAAAGGATGGACCTGACAGATAATGCGAAAATTTGTATTTAGAAGATAAATGCAGAACACATCAAACAAAATAGGAAGAAAATTAAAAAAAAGATAAATAATAAGGCAACAACGTACCAAGAATGCTGTATGCCACAGGTCTTAGTAAATTTTATCAGCGTGA